TAAACAAATAAACAAACCAAAAAACAGGCCCCAATTAAGTTATTTATGCCAAGCCTCACATCACCAAACTGAGATTTAATTAGTCTTTCAATTCTCCCAGAAATAGAATCTTAAACCAATCAATCAGGAATCACCTAATCAGCGCTAGTTAGGTAATCTGACTGGTTAACCACTCCTATCTCCTAAAGGAAAGTAACTTTTCAATAACTAACCTGTTTTGTTTTGTTTTGTTTTGTTTTGTTTTGTTTTGCCTAGTATGACTTCCTTCTCCCCATTCCCTTCCTCCTATAAAAGTCTCATTTTGTACAAGTCTTCAGGGCTCCTTTCTATCTATTAGATTGGAGAGACAGAATCAATTTGAATCGATTTGAATTCAATTTGAATTCAATTTTTTGCCCAATTTGTTGTTGTTGTTTTTAAGATTTATTTATTTATTCATGAGAGAGACACAGAGAGAGAGAGGCAGAGACACACATAGGCAGAGGGAGAAGAAGGCTCCATGCAGGGAGCCCATGTGGGACTTGATCCCAGGTCCTGGGATCATGCCCTGAGCCGAAAGCACGCAACCCCTGAGCAACCCAGGCGTCCCCAATTTTTTGCCCAATTTGAATCAATTTTTTTCTCAAATTCTTAAAACTTAATATGCTTCAGTTTATCTTTTAACAAATCTCTTTGCCTTACCTGACCACTCATTAAAACATAGCTTCCTTCACTGTATTTTATATTAGATACAGCCTAGTATCTTCATAATTTATTTATTTATTTTTTTTTAAGAAAGCACTTTTTTTTTAAATTTTTTATTTATTTATGATAGTCACAGAGAGAGAGAGAGAGAGAGGCAGAGACATAGGCAGAGGGAGAAGCAGGCTCCATGCACCGGGAGCCTGATGTGGGTTTCGATCCCGGGTCTCCAGGATCGCGCCCTGGGCCAAAGGCAGGCGCCAAACCGCTGCGCCACCCAGGGATCCCCTAGTATCTTCATAATTTAAAGTTGTCTATACTAGTTAACCAAAACCAATCCTGAATGAGTAGACTATTTTACATACAGTTTTTACCTATTAACTAATTTCTTAAAGTTGAGGGAAATAATTAACATTTACTAATTAAGATATTAATGATTATGAAAGAGTATACAATGAAAGGTAGATCTATTTTCTAACACACTCCTCCCCACCAAAGAAGATTAGTGGTCCTCTGTGTAACCTTCTAGAAATTATGTTAAAAAGCACTTATTAAACAATTGAATAAGCAATTTTGTAATTGGATGTTTACTAGACTCCAAATCTCTTACTAGGTGCACGGCGTAAGGTATAAGCAAAAAGAAATTGCTAACCTCATAGAGCTGACACTCTAATAGGAAACAAACAATACACATAAATTGATATATACATATAATTTCTGGAAGTTATAAGTAATATTTAAAAGAAGAGTAAAGAAAGAGAAGTCATATATAAGACAGTTGCTATTTTCTAGAAGGTGACATCTGAGCAGATAGTGGATTTAAATGGAAGAGGGAAAACATGGATATCTAGGGTAAGACCCTACCAGGCAGAGAACAGCCAGTGCAAAGGCCTTCAGAAAGCGTCTGTCTAGTATTCAAGAAACTGTCAAGAGACCATTGTGGCTGTAGTAGAAACAGCAAAAAAGAGAGTGGTAGAGGATAAGGTCACAGGGATTACAAGGGACAATATCATGTCAGAGCAACAGCTGAGACTGTGAATCTTATTCTGAGAAAAAACAAGGTTGGGGGTGGCACTGGGAGTCTTAAGAGAGAATTAACATGACCTAACATACTTTTAAACGATCACTGAAATTGTGTTGTGAAGATACTAGCAGTACCGGTGGGCAAAGGTAGAAGCATGGAGATGAGCTCGGTGAGAGATAAGGGTATTTTGGACCAGATAGGTAGCAGAAGTTGTGATAAATGGTCATATTCTAGAAAATGCTCAAGGTAGCCCCAACAAAATTTTCAGGCACACAAAATATAGACTAAGAGAAAATAAATTAGACCTTTGTGGTCTAGGTAACTGGAAGGGTGGACTTGCCATCAACTGAGATGTGGAAAACTGCAGATCCACTAAGTTTTGAGAGGAAGATCACAAATTTGGTATTAGACATTTTAAGTTTGCAATATATCTTAAATGTCCAAGATGAAAGAAATTATGACATATATTTGCTAACAACTAGTTTATTAGAGAAGGGGAAATGACGACATCAGACAGAAAAGCAGGAGGGCCAGGATCTAATATAAACGTGAAGAAGTTTTCAGAGTGGAGGAGAGACAGTTGTCGACCTAGTTACAATCTGGAAATGGGCACATACAAGTAGGTGTGTAACCAGGTTGGCAGGAGTCAGTGTAAAGTTTCTTCTGGTTGCTTCTATTTTCATAGTTAAATAGAAAAGAAAATCTTGTTTTTCTTTTCTATTCTATATCTATAGAAAATAAATTATCTATTGAAAAGAAATTAGTGAATCTCTTTTTACCCCCTGGCTTAAAACCTTCCATGGACTTCCCATTCACCATTGGAATAACAGCCAAACATTTTATCACAGCCCACAAGGCCCCAAGGACCTGGCTGGCCCTCACCTATCTCTCACCATTGCCCAAAATGTTTCAGCCACAGGGGCCCTCTTTCCCTGCCTCAGACATGTACAAGACAAACTGTACAAGCCTCGGGTTCCCTGACCTACTTGTCTCTCTGTCTGGGACAGGTAAAAGAGGTACCCTACCCTCCCAAGCATGGCTAATTCTTATCATATAGGTCTCACCTCCAAAGTCCCCACTGTTGGCCTTTCTTGAGCATACCATCCAATATGGTGCCTCTTCTTATCAAAAGTTAGTTTACTTCTGTGTTATTGTCTGCTTCTTCCCACGTATGTGTTGCATGAGAAACTAGCACCTCCAGCCCACCTTCTCATTCTCTTTCCTCTGATCTGCTGTTAACTTTTCTTCTTGATACTCATTACCACGGTATATATAGGGCATTATCCATCTCCCCTAAGAGAATAATAGCTACATCTGGCACAGTAGGTGCTCAGTGAGTATTTCCCAATGAATATATATGGAAAATTAAACGAAAAAAAAAATGCACGTGGAGCATATAACAGAGCACCTGGCACATTGTAAATCTCAATAAATGTTAGCTGCTACAATGATGACAACAGAGACTAGCATGGCAACAATCACAACTATGAAAGGCAAATCCTCTGTGCTTTTGAACCAACTCCCTTTGTGCTGTCAGAGATTTTTCTCTCATTAATTGCATGTTCCTTCTTCCTCTTTACAGGCTCTTTCCCTTCAGCTAAATATGTGCTGTATTTCACTACTATTTTTTTTTAAATCAGTTAAAATATACTTTGCTTAACTCTGTCTTATTAGGTACAGCCAAGTACCATCACAGTATAGCCACAAGAGAGAGTAGTCTATACTAGCTCGCAGCTGGTTAAATAAATCTTGAATGATTAAACTCATTGTGACTTGCTGTTTTTTCTTTCTATTAGCTAGTTTACTCAAGTTGAAAGAAACTACTTAATATTTGCATGGCTGAAATATTAATAATGATAGTAATGATTAATAATGAATCATACAAAGGAAGATAGATCCGTTATCTCACTCAGCCTTCCCTCTCCAAGGAAATCAGGTATATGCTGTGTATCTTTTCAGAAACTATGTATGCATATCCAGACATATAAATATCTTTTGAAATATCAACTAGGATCCCATCCTGCACACAATTCCACACCTTGGGTTTCCTTTCAAAGGAAACACCCTGAAAGGCTTTCTAAAGTTCACATTAAGAACTGTACGATTCTTTGTACTGGCTACAAAGCATTTCATTGTATCGATAAAATGCCATCCATTTAACTAGTCTCATATTTATTATTTACAGGCATTTAATGTTTTTAGCCATTTGCTATTATAAACAATTGAGGCAACCTATATACATTATATCCTTGCACAGTCCTTCAAATACGGGTATAAATAAATTCTTAAAAGCAGAATTTCTGCATAAAAGGCACATGTGCCTTCAGTTTTTTATTTTTATTTTGAAGTTTTTTGATATTGCCAAATTACCTTCCAAAAGTTTTATTAAATCACCAGAATTTTCTACTCCTCCAAGTAAGCAATTATTAACTGTAGATCATATTTTCGGTGAGGGAAAGGGAATAATTCCCGAAGCGCCTTAAATCAAGAAAGGGAATGAAATGCTTCCAAAGGAAAATGTTAACGCTTTACTATGATACGTATTTTTTTTAAAAATACAAACAGCACTATTTCTGGGAAAGCATCAGAATTATTTTCCCACTTTTTCCTAGTAAAAGCTCACCTCCCTCCTCATAGTTTTTCCACTCTTCCAGAATTCCTTTTTTCTAAAACGACCTCGTAGGAACTCACAGCCAATGGCAACAGGAGTTCAAAGAAAAAGGAAAACCCAAAACTCAGTTTCTAAGGAGCACAAGATTCTTAGGTTTCAGGGCAGTGCAGGGACTTCAGTTCTTGTCCTTCGAGGGGTTTTTAATTCAAAAAAAAAAAAAAAGTGGATTCTTTAAAGGACTTAACACCTATTGGTGAAAAAATTCTCTTGCCTTATTTGTCGCACTTTTATTTATTTATTTATTTATTTATTTATTTATTTATTTATTTATTTATTTATTTATTTATTTTGCAAATACTTTTAGGGTGAGGTGGAGGAGGAGTTCGTAAAGGGCGGCCTGCATTTCTGGGGCTTTTAGCGGGAAACAGCTGCGGCCCCCGCTCCCGCCGGAGGAGCGCGCTCCGCGGGCCTCCCGCATCCCTCCCGCATCCCTCTCCGCGACTTCCTACCCGACCCCCCCCCCTCCACCCTAGACCCATAGACGCGCCGCCGGCCTCGCGCCCCCCGCGCCGCGCGCAGTGGAACAACCCATGACGTCATGAGGCCGCGACGCAATCAGACGCGGCGTTTCGGAAATTTTAAAATTAAAGGCGGGGCGGCCCGTGCGCTCTGAAGCGGGGGAGGTTGAGCTGCTGCGCCGGTTCGCTTGGAGCCAGCCTTGGCGGGATGGCGGAGGAAGGGGCCGTCGCGGTGTGCGTGCGGGTCCGTCCGCTCAACGACAGGTAGGTAGGCCAGGCCGAGAGCAGGGCCCCGCTGCGGCTTCCCGGGGGGTCCGCGCTGCTCCTTCCCGGTTCCGCCGCTTAGGATCTCGGCCGCTTACTGGCTTTGTGCCACGGCGTCCCCTCTGTGTAAGCGACGGGGAAGGACGACGAGGAGGAGGAGACGCGTTCCAGCTGTAATCGCCCAACCGTACAACGCAGGCTGGCCCCCGTGTAGGACCTCCACGCCGCCGGCGCTGCGCTGACTTGGCCTGTCCGCGCCTCCCCGCCCGGCCGGACGGTTGTTGCCGGCACTCCTCAGGGCTGGTCGTTTTGCCTAACTGCACCTAGCTGCCTCTGCCTCTTCGCTGTATATTCCCTGAGAGCAAGGACTAGTCTGCCTTGTTGCGTTGTATTCCTAGGCGCTCAAGACGTAAGTCCCTGAATTCAACATTCGCAGCGTTGGCTCATCTCTACCAATACTGACTTTTTTTTGAAGTATAGTATAGCCGTCCAGCACCAAACAGACGTGCTGCTGCAGGAGAGCTTGGTTCTCGTCTCACGGAGTCCAAGGATGGATCTCACAGAGGACAGAGTGAGCGAAGCGCTAGGTACAAATGTACTAATAACAGCGAGAGGGGTCCCGGCAGGGTTGCCACTGAGGGCTTCGATGGTCTGTCTTTTATAAGAAACTGTCCCAGAAACTTGGTAAATTGCTTGTCAGCATCAGAGTGGATCTGTAAATGTATCTATATTTAGAACAAACACGGGGGACCTGTAACAGACAAAATGTTTCTCTGTAAATATCCTGAGCACAAACAAGGTGTTCCCCCCTCTCTGGTTAATACGCCCTCCATAAGATTTCTCTACATCTGGGATTTCTGGGAGTACCTAGTAGCCATTAAAGGGGAATACTCCCTAATATTTTGGAGCTAAGGAGCCCGGTTTATTTGTTTTGTTCATCTCTGTTTCCTTGGGATGCGTAGGAGCCTGACTCCTGGGGCCTTTCAGGGCCTATGGGAGCCCACAGATTGCTGGAAGCCTGACTCTGGACCTTTCCCTTATCTTTCCCCGTCTGCCCCTAACTCGTTCCTTCGTCTTCCTCCCCCTGGAAGAGTAATCCTAACTACCATTCGGGAACTGGACGATGACCAGTCTGGCTGCTTCAGGCTGAAAAGGGGCGGTGTGGGGTGGGACAGCAGAGTATTCTCAGGGGTTGGTCAGGAGGTCCATGGTATGGCTCCCAAGAGATGCTGGAAGGCATGAAGGGACATAAGCACCAGCAAACAGAAAAAGAAAATCTAACAATTATTTCTATGAAGAAAAAAAAAAAAATCACTGAAATATTGACCCTGGTTTCCAAACCAATCAAATATTGCCCCAGTTTCCAGACCAATCGAATAATCCTGGAGAGACTGATTTTGTCCAGTTGAGCTTGAATGTCATGTATTAATTGTGAGAGCTTATGAGAATTGTCAGTTACATTAAAACAGCACATGTGGAGAAACCCTTTACAACCTAAGTGATGTTGAAGTAGTAAGTATTCAGTAGTGGTCTGATTCTCTAGAGTCTTGCCCTGACCTCACTTAGTTCTTGATTTAGGGCATCTAACGTTTGAGACCCATCATTCAGGGTTCTGCTGAGTAAGCAGTTTGTTGGATCTTAGGATGTAAGACTTTTCCTACTGCTGGGAGAGTCACGAGGGAGAGAGCTAAAGCTGCTGTTTCCCTGTTTGATATGAGAACCACATAATCATCGTGGGGGGGGTGGTAGATGAGGCATTTCTCCTTGGTAATGGGCTGCTGTGGGGGAAGCAAGAGTGATGATGCCTAATCCCTGTTTGCGTACAGGGAATCCCAAGAATTGTTTAGGGACGGTGTAATAGGCCATATCAGGGCAAAACAAAGTCCATTCTCTTGGCAGATGGGCAGATGTGATTCATTAGTTGGCAATGGGAGGTATAAAGTTTCATTGATAGTAGCCTCACTGCAGGCTATACATATACAATTGGCTTGAATGGTAGGTTTTATACATATGGAGTGGGGGGCCTATATTGCGGAGAAGCAGCTTGAAGCTGAGTAGTAAGGCTTTGGTTGAGTCATAAAATTTCATCATGGCCCCCACACCTATTACACTATTAAAAAGCAAACTTCGTGGGAGTTAATGCAAAAGGATACACATAAAACAAGTATTAGGTTCTAAATTATGATTACTTACATAAGATTTTCAATTACCAATTTTGTTGAATAGATCATGGATACCTTTTATCCTTTTAATTGGTCACAGATGTCCGCTATTAATTGAACACCTTGTAGGAGTTAATCATAATGTTGAAACAACACACGTGAGGATACTCCTCCTAACCCCAAATGATGCAGCAATAGTCCCTAATGATGCGGTCCTTGAGAAGTCCTCTGACTTCATTTAATTATTGGTTGAGTGTATCCAGTGCCTGGGAAGTACCATTTAGAGTCCTGTCCAGCAAGCATATTTTTTGTTTATTTTATATTGCAGTCCTTCTAGCAGTCCTACTGTCCCATAGTGTGCCCTGAGGTTCTTTTTACCATGAGACCCAAGGTATGCTTGGCTATGCTTGTTTACAATTATACCTTAGAGGTGGCTTCTAGGATAAATATGACTAAAGGATAAAACCATCAAGAAGCCCTCTTGGTTTGAGGTCTAGCCTGAACAGTATTATAATTAAAAGGAATCACTAACAAGTAGGAGAAAACTTGTCTCAAGAGATATGGGCATCCCCATGTACATCATCCAATCCAATCAAAAAGTAGGGTCATCCATTATCTTTACAAGTCCATAGTTCACCCCATGCAGTAGAGTACGCTCTGGCTTTAAAGGAGCAATTTTGTCATCCCAGCCACACAGAATGGTCAAAGTGCTAGTTGTATATACAATTGCTGGGGAATTCCATTTTTTTGTTGCTTTAATAATCAGACCCATGTGGTCCAGTTAATTATCCCCATAGGATAAAAAGCATAGAGTATCTTGTACATGCACTATTATGTAGAAATAAAAAAGCTATTTCTCTGAAGTTTACCTCAAGAAGTCTAGCTAGGCAAACGACATTCATTTAAAGATCATCAGCTACAATTTAACATCCGCAAAGATGTGATTTTGAAAGTTTCTCTCTATAATCCTCACTTCTTAATCAGAGGTAGCCAAGTCAGGACTGACCTGTCTACAAAAGAAGTCCAGTTTTAATAAACTTGGCCTAATAATTTACATAAGCTCAGCAAGAATAATGATTTAATCACATAGGTCTTTTAGAATCTGCTTTGCAGGAACTTTTTATAAGGAATCTCCAGGTTGAACTTTTAGTAGCCTCTACAGGCCAGAAGCCAGGCCAAGTACTTGCCATCAGACATGCCTGCAATACCTGTAGATTTGGGCAGGTTCTTCTTCACAAGGTTCCAGAAGTATCTCCTGCACCTGCCAGTGAGTGACATTCTTTACTCACTTGGTGAGGCTGTGGGGAGCTTAGCTCCTTAAGCAAGGTATCAGGCCAGCATTTCCAAGGGGCTTTATTACTCCAGGTTTCACGAAGTCAGCTTTCGTTCCTTAAAGCTGTTTGGTCATATCTGAGTCTATGCAGGTCTCTCAAATATGACATTCTAGTCAAAGCCTTGGTAAAATAAACCAATTATTTCCAATGGTGTCCTGTTAAAAAGAATAGAATGTATGCAAATAACTATGATTGCCATGGAAGAATGCTTATTACTAAGACATGAATTTCAGAGGGTTCAAGTAGGGAGAAAAGTTAATGCTTTATTTTGTTTACTAACGAGTACTTCATATTTCTGTAAATCAGGTATCTTAAGAGAAAGTTTTAACCTGGGAGAGTAAACAGAACCAGTAGTGGATCAAATAAGGAGTCACAAAACTATAATCATCCTTTTGGTTTATTTATTTCCATGTTACTATTCTTGTTTAATTTGAATGCAATTTTAGTTCTGGAAATTATTACCCATTTCAGTTTTGATTTTAAAGAAATTAAAACCTGTATTTGTCCTAACGATCCCTTATATGAACCTCCTTGAAAATGAAATTTCATCTTACAAGAGATAACAATTATAAATGACAAAAACTTAGAAATGGAATCTAATCAGTTATTTCTGTGACACCTAACATTTCAATGATCAAAATATCACTTGATGACCTTATATTAAAACATACTAAAACTTCAGATGTTGCATATTATCTCTTGAATAGTTATAGTATTTACCCAAACGTAACCTAAGGTGTATCATTTGTTCAACAGTACTTTCAGAGTAACTTAACATACTAAATAAAAGTCCTACGGAGTCAAAAAGACTCCATTTCCAATTAAATCTTGAGACATTCCTTAAAACCTTAGAAAGTTTTAAAGCACATGCCTAAATAGGATTAGGGATGTTAAGAGACCTGATAAAGGCAAAACCTAGAAACTTTTTTCTGGGTAGGCAAAGAGAAAACTTTATTTTATTCTCTAGAGCAACCAGCAATTCAAGAAAACTTGTCTTTTCGAACAGAGAGAAAGCAAACTAATTTTAGTCTTATACCTGTGTACTTTAAAAAAAATTCATCATCAATCTTAGTCTGTTCTGACCACATCTAAAATTCTTTTTCAAGGATTTCCCTTCACAAACCTGTACAATTTTCTTTTGCATGCAGATTTTTGTACCAAGCCATTTCTTTTTAAATAACCAATCTCATTTAGGACAAAATTACCTTCTTTTACCTTTAATAAAATGCATTCCCATTCTTAGATCTTTCTTATGTCTCACCAACCTTTCTATATACAGAGGTTTCCTTATTCTCCATGAGTCTTAATTACATTTAGCAGAATTTTTCACTCTTAGAAACCTTAGCCTCCAGTGAAAACTAAGTAGTAACCAGTGTGAACTGTTATACAAGAACTTTAGGTAGCAAATTTATGATTAAGGGCAAAACATGTTTACAAACAGATTCGAGTATTCTTAGTTTCTCTGCAGTAAGAAGTCAAAAGCACAAATATATTTAGTACTTGA